CCTTTTATCTTCAAATACTCTTGCAATTAGCTGAAAGCTTAAAAACCCCCACATTTCTGCTTGCAAAGAAAAAGCTAGAAATAGCGTATTTTACGTAGTTTCTAAGTTTTTGAGTTCTCCCCTTGTAGGAGCTTGCAAATAAAATGAGAGCATAGGAAAGCATGTAAGGCAAACTCCAGGCACACAAGTCCTACTTTTATTTACAGCTTGAACCGCAGAGGGCAGCAAACAAAAAGAAACTGAGCTCTGAAGTCTGCAAGTTCACCGCTGCCTGGCCCTTCTAGAGAGGACTCTGCATTCCCTGTGCTACCAAGATCAATACACAGGCAGTTGATTTCGCTTGGCTTTCAGCTTCATTTTGCTGATGGACCTTTTTCTATTGTCTCCCCTTCTAAGAGACTTAAAATGAATGATTTTGACTTAAAAACCTGAACTCTGCTTGGTCTCACAAAATATCTCCCAACTGCTTGCATAGAAGGTAAAAGCAATAAATTCCCTTTTTCTGACTTGTCAAGCCAAATCACATTCCTGTACTCTATCTTTCATCCAGTCATTCAGTAACATTTTCATTACTTGTTGAAAGTATGCTACTAAAGACCAGTAAGTAACTTCACTCTTTTTGCCATTTGCATCAGACAGTCAACACAGCACTGCATCAACACATGCAAGTATATGTCATTTTAAAAAATTACATCTATAATGTTCCATGCAGCTTTGCCTGTGCTTGATTTTATATATACAAGTAGACATTCACAGGTAAATAATCAAAAGTATGCATTTAAACTGGTGAGTTAAATCATTCTTATATGATCTGCATGGACAAACTAATATTTTGCATTTGCAAGTTCATACACAATACCAAAGCCTCTCTGGAACAACGGACTGAGATGTCTGTGGTCAATTTGGCTTTGGCATTTTATTAGCTCTAAAGAGTTTGCTTTTGCTTTTCCTTTTTTCGGACTACTTTTAAATAGCTGTTGTAGCTCCAAGACCGCTACCAGATTGACTTAGTCTCTCCATATCTTTATGAGAAGACATGTTTTTTAATGGCATATCAAAACTCATCTATATGTAGAATTTCTGATTTCTTTTTAAAACACTCTGAGAAAATTTTTTCAGTTGACAAAATGTTACTCAAGTAACTCTACTAACACCAAGCAGAATATTCTGATAACCAGCTTGAGATGTCAAAGGTGACCAAACTTGCACATTCTAAAGAAAATTTCAAATTTTCCACTACATTAAAAAAAAACCCCAAATCCAACAGATGTACATCATAGTGTAAGCTCAGTCTATTTCTGGTATTGGACAAAACAGTAATATTTTTTAATTTATTCTGATCATGAAATCCTCTTGCATATAAACTCAGTAGAAAATTTGCATACTGAACATACATTAAAAAATCTAGAACTAAAATTTAACTTGACAGTTTTATCTGACTAGCACATGTGTACTTTCATGCTTAGACTAAAACACATAATGAAAATAAAGGCATCTATTGCTTGTACCAATTTTACAAAGCCTACCTTTACAGCAACATTAAGATTTTTTCCTTACTTGCTTTACTGCAGAAATACAGAAATGCACATGTACGAAGGAATTACTTCACATATACAAGTTTGAAACTAGTAAAGAATAAAAAATTAACTTAATATTCGTATGAGTAAGATTAAATTATTAAACTGCAATTTAGTTATTCACTGAAAGTAAACATCCATTTTAGGAAACAAATCCATGGTTCAGATATTAGAGAAAAAGAAGAGCGTTTTATTGAATTGCAGACATTGGAGATGGAAACATATGTCAGAACAACTTACGTACCACCTTATCAGTGCTATGTTATTGGAAGAAATGGTAATGTTTTATGGGATTACTGAAATCGGAAAAATGGAACTGCCGTATCTTTGCTTGGAAGACTATTCAACAGCTTAATGTCACTTTTAGTTGTAATCTCAAAGGATCAATCCCAAGCCTTTCCTTTTTTGTTGATGTTTTATACTCTTACGAGTTCAAATTACAGAATACAAAACATTAATTTCCTGTTTCATGACAGAATGCTGCTACATGATACTGCAGCTTGAAATTACACTCATTTTTCATATCCATAACAACGATAATCATCTGTCCCTAACCAATCTATCCATTTGATGTTTATTACTAGGTCTTTTTTTTTAGGTTTAATATTTCTTACATTCTTTTGACCTACTGAATGAGGATCTGCTGAATAATGTTTCCCACTAAATGTTAGTTTTCCACTGAATCTGATTTTATTATATTCTTCCCATGTTTCTAATCTCCACATTAATCACAACTGGTTCCAATGTAGTACCTATGTCAAAAAAGGAAATGCTGACTTTTCAAACCTCATCTGCCCTGTTTATTATCATATAGGGTAGTTGTAAATATTTTTTCTTTCTCATTTTTTGCAGATAATTTTGCCATCAAAACTGCAATCCTGTAGACATGGAAATGATTTAATTTCAGCAAGAAATTTTAAGAACTGGAGTGTTGGAGAAACTCCCTTTGACTTTATTAGTTTTGTCAAGAACAAAAAATAAGAATTTCTAGTTCAGATGCTATAAATGTCCATCTTTTACAATATTAATGAACTCTATTTTTATATTCTGTATTTTGATTATTATTTTCTTTCAGTATCATCAGAACAATTTTTCAGACATTAAAGATCAAATCTTTCGAGATTATCAAGATGAAAGACTTAACTCATGCAATATTGACACAGTTGAGAATTTGGAGTTTTCATCTGAATTTGGAACTAATGTGGGTTTTTTTAGATGTCAGCTTTTCCTACGCACACAGAAAAATCTTTTGACCTACTCTGCTGATCATCCTTTAAGAAGTTGTGAGTTTTGCTTTCCATATTCCATTCAATGAACACAAGGAAAGCAAAAAGTTTAGTGAAACCACATCTTTTCCTTTTTGCAACATGGTCCAAAGGAAGCATCTAAATACATAAAGCTAAATATCATCTTTATTAACAGCAGAAATTCCAGACCGATAAAACTGTGATAGCTCACTTCAACTATTTTTATATTAGTTAGTACCATTACACTAGTGTCAGCGCAACTGTCACCTCTTGTATTCTACATTAATTCCTCTCTTCCATTCTTTTACAGCTCTGAATCATACATAAACAAAAAAATCTCTCCATTCTGGCCATGAATATTATTTCCTCAGCTTTTAAAATTTATTCTACAAAGAGATGTTTCCTTGTATTTACATAAGCTAAGTCTAAACGTCTAGTCTAAGCTTCAGATGATAAAGTGGGATCTTGCCCTTGACTGATGCTGCTCAGTAAGTACAGCGTGACTAAGGCTTTTCTGCATGAAAATATTTTAAGGACCAAATGAAGCTCAAAATCCAACCTCTTGATTGAGAACATAAAAATTAAAATGCGTAAGTCAGTTAAAAAAAAGGATTCAGGGACAGTCAGCAAATCTCACTTTTTTTGTCATCTCATTAGTTTGCTAAAATTGAAAAACTTTAACTATGATCATACTGATCAGCACTGCAATTCCTATATGAATTTTTTTTCCACATTACGTTAGTAGAAAATGTAATTTATTAGAAAAGTGAGGCCATTCTTGAAACATCACTATAATCTTCTTATTTTTAACTTGCATCCACTGTTATTCTTTGGCATTGGGAAGGCTGGTAAATGACCTCAGTGTATACAATGCAGCCGTGGCAATCAAAAAAGTACTCAGAAAAAATACCATCACCTTTTAAATAAAATTATATATAAAGTTAATCTTCACAATAAATACTAAATCCCATTTAATTATATTGATTAATTAGCAGTTCCTATAGATATGTCAATTTCCTCTTTGAAAAAATGCAACAATTCTGCAAGAACTTGGTTTTACAGAAACACAGCTTAGTATTTTCTAGCTAATGAAAATGACGCTCCTGCAAAGACCACAAAACCACAAGGGTAAGGTGCTTAGTACAGGTGTTTCACACTGTTAGGATACTACATATTATGGAATTCAACTATTTGCTTAATTTATTTTAAATTAATAAAATAAATTCTGTGAACAAGTGTGTAATATAGAAGCAAATAATAATCCAGTATTGATTACATAAACCCCTTCTTTAAAACCGGACTCCCTCAACTATTTCAACCTCAAAATAAAAATCCAAGAAAAGAAAATATTGCCATTGATATGTAACAGTTTTCCTAAAATAAGAAAGTATTCAGATAGCATAAAGGTAAATTAGAAAGGCTGGGTGAATGTGTCTTTCAGCAGATGAAAACTTCCGTTAATGGTCATTTTGCATGCATTAAGCATAGGTTTATCAGACATGCTTGTGAAAAATTCCACAATTGCAATCGTTATTCAGAAAGCAGGAACAAAGACTTCTAATTACATGTTAATTTACACTCAGTAATCACAGAGTAATTGAGCCTGGAAAGGACTTCCAGAGGTCACCTAGTCCAACCTCCTACTAAAAGCAGGTGTAATCAGACCAGGTGGCTCAGGGCTATGTCCGGGTGAGTCTTGAACACCTCCAGAAATGGAGACTCCACAGCCTCACTGGGCAACCTTGACCAGTATTTGACCAAAATCTCCTTACATGTACAATTAGGCACATCCTGAAAATGCAAATAGTTTATTTTTATGCATTAATTAATCAGATATCATATGTGCTGTTAATACTACTGAAAATGAGTGCTGGAGATGCATGCTAATTAGAAAAAGCGGTTTCCATTAATTCACAGTTCTGCTCAGCACCCATTACGTTTGCACAGTGGTGGTTCGATTTCTTGGAAAAATCAGAAGATCTAAGTTTAGCAAGTAAGCCAAACCCACATTATCAACGCAACTATCAGGAAAAAGCAAAGACAAATTGCCACAAAATCGTATTTGAAAAAGGACCTTCAATATTCATCTAAGTAGTTATAATCAGTAGTAAATAATAAAAAGATGACCTCTCACCAAACCTCTTACTGTATTGCCCATTTCACTTATGTGTCTTACCGGTCTTTCATGTTCAAGGATCGATGACTTTCCTGGCTCATATTCAAAAATACTTCTTGGTTCAGAACGGAACTTGCGGGTATCTACCTTTCTGTCAGGAGGGTCCCAGTCATTTCTAGATAACAAACATGAGCAATTGAGTTAATTTACTGTCATCGCCATTTGCCTTACAGCTCCGTGCAAGAGAAACATGCAAACCCAAAATGGATTTCAGTATGGTTTCTCTTTCCAGATTTCAGTTGTGAAATGTCTGGCCTAGTATCCCAATGTTTTAACCACTGTATCATCTCAATCTGTTTACAGCAGGTATACTCAGCACAGCAGGAAAAATACTAGAGATGTCCAGCTTCTGTGATCATTCATACTTTTGTTGTAACTGGTAGACCAGTTTAAAAACATACTGTGCCAAAATACCATGACATGCCTTCTCAAATTGCAAATTTACTATACTTGTTTTCTGCACTATACTAATATAGGCAAGCGGTAGATATTTTTGTCATCATACAGTATGATAGTATGCCCATATTGAAAAAGTTACAAAATTTTCTGAGACAAAAAATGAAGAATTATTTTAAACAAGTGTGAAAATCTAATAGATGCTCTTTATCCAGATCTGTAGTAGAACTGCTCCTGAATATCCTTGTAAGCAGTATACTGTTTCCTTGGAAATTTGGATAGATAAACAAGAACAAGAATTTGGCAGTTGACTTCGGGACAGAAATTTATCCATTTTCTCTATACTTATAAATTTGCTTTCTATTTAATTGTGCTATGCAAAGAATAAAAACTCCTACTACATTTTTTCAGTCATTTACCATATATATTAATACCTACCTATACATTTTGGGGGTATAGTTAGCTAGTTACTATCACAGTGAGAGCTACCTTTTCATGGCAGTTTTTGTAGTAACTTCCTATATGGCATTTGGAAAACTGCAGCCTCACACATCTTTTATTTAGCTCTGTGTAAAACGACACACTGGTAACTCAAAGAATGGGGGAAAGGAAAGGGGAAATCCTATCAGCTATTGCATCTGTATTTACAGTTAGAAAGAGCATACACTGATTAAATTCTCTCAGTTCTATTAGCCTTTCTGATGTGACTTGGTTTGATGTGACCTGACATAATAAGGCACATGTCACATCCCTTAAAAAAATCTATGGGGTAGCTTTTGTTTACAGTATGTTTGTGAGTGCAATTTCTGGGACGCAGACACCTCTATTTATAAAACGCCCTACATTTCAAGGGAAGTAGTTCTACATGGCTAATTGTTTATTTTCAGCGAGGAAAAAATTAGTTTCAGAGCAGAAAAGGTTGTGTTTTTTGAGAATGAACAGGATAATGGAAATGTTCTGATCAAGTTGCATTATACTGCAAGTCACCGAAGAAAAAAAGATGCTACTGAAATTCTGATTCACACTCAGTTCACCTAATTTACAGTGTTTAGCCTGTAATCCCTTATGGACTACATTTTTGAGCCCAACTGTTAATGCAAACCGTATCTTGCCTCCCAGCTATGAAACTGTGATACATGTGGACCTAAGCCTCTTATGTGAGATTTTAAATACTCAGGCTATATAGGCAATTAAAAAAAGAATCTCCCAATGGCAGGAAAAGATTGACGAGCTATAGCTGTCAGCAGTAGGCAAAGCATAACTAACTTGTTTGGCATCCCCTGGCCTGGAGAACATAGATTTCCACTGCCTGTCTTATCATGCAGGAGATTAAAAGGAGAGGGTGAACATCCAAATTCGGTGCTGAAGCAGTTATTTTCAAACTTGGCAAAAGGAACTGCAACAGGTCTCAGTTTCTGTGACCAAGGAACTCGGCCTAGCACACGACGATGACTCACATAACTTCAGAGATCAAAGCTAAGCAGATCCACATTTTGGTGCCTTGCTAACACCACCTACACTTCTGTATGACTTAACAAAATTCAAACCTCATGGCCTTTGGGAAGTAGTGCAACCCTAACCCCTAGCATTTCCTCTTGGCAATCTGCCCTCAGGCACAGGGGTAGCCAAAATCAGTAACCATCCAGCAATCTCATTTTCCCAGCCAATATCTCTATCTGCTGTATTACCTTTTGAAATGCCACTACCTACAAATTTTTCAAGCAGCCATAGTCATAGTCTTAACTGTAAACACTTAGTATCATCTTTCCTCATAATATTTTATTCAAACTGCAAATGATTTGAAACTGTTTAATATAATTGAGTTTCTACATATAAAAATGTTTACAATGTTCAAGCTGACAAAAATGGGCAAATTATCTTTTGTTGCTTGAGTGTAAACAAGACAGGTGGGCCTGTAGCCACAAATGGAACAAAAAAAGACCCTTTTCAAAGATAAAATACATACATACATATACACATATGAATGTATATTAATATTATATTAACACGTAGTATTCATGAATGTAAACACTAAAGAAAAAGCTTTATATGTTGAAGAGTCTATAGAGTTTGTGTGCAGGGCACTTTGCATGGTTTTATCAGGAGGATAAGCATTTCTTTCCTGAGTTACTTAGTATGAACCTTTTCCAGACTGGACTCTAATCACTAGGACCTGGTTTTGTGCAGCAAGTTTCGAGCTGGAAAATCACAAGAAATCTGAAATGCCCCTTTAATCTGTAAACACCTTCTTGGCCTACCAAAATGGATAGAGAGATTGAATAAAATGGGGATATAAAGCACTTCTGAGCTCTGGGGAAACGTGGGTTGACTGCTACACTCTCAGAGTTTTGCTCTTCCTTGAATTTCAATTTACAACATCTTTTAGATCCTTTCTCTTTGCTACTGGATACCATAAATAGCCTTTCCTACTCAGAGGCTAACTATTCAAAACAGGTGCTAGAGCATGGATTGTTCTGAAACACAATAAGCAGGACAATCCTGCTAATGAGAACGAAACCCTTAAATGCTCACAGTGGTTTCACTTCTGAGAATAAGCACTTCTTTAGCACGTTGAAGAAATGGCAGCACTATGCATGATGCCCGTGCTACTGATGAAGATTACCCCTCACCACCTGGCTGCCCCTTGAATAAAGCCCTTGAAGTCATATTATTCTATAACTGCCAATTTTATATAATTGTGATATCCCGTAATTGGACTACTGTCCATACCAAGAACACTTTCTGAAAATACGCCAACTTACTTTTCTGGAGTAGACCTTTCCCTCAGACGATGTGGTGGTACTGGAGGTGGCACATGTGGAGGTGGCAAAGGGGACGAGACCTTAAAGGCATCGGAGCTACTGTCAGAAGCGCTTTTAGATAAGGGTCTGTATGTCTGCATCTTTGCAGCTGGGTGGGCCTGAGCAGAAAAGGATGGACTGTAGCCACCTAATATAAAACAAAATCAGAAACAATCACAGCATGAGAACGAGTTTTAATAAAACACAACATGGAATGCCACAAGAGCCCACAGTTACTCAATAAAGCTGCAATGTTACAAAAATGCGTAAAGGTGTTTTAAAAGTACATGAGTATACTATGTAGCTCATTAGAATACTTTTTATATATTTCTATACAAAACTACAAACACACAGATAAAGTGCAGTATAGTTAAAATAAATTAATGATTAATTTGAGGGGAGGAGAAGTTAATGGCTGTATATATCCATCAGAGCTGTTAATGACAGCCTGTAATTAATCCCCAGGCTCATCCTGCCTCTCAGTTGTTCTATGTTCAGAAGGAAGAGGCAGACAACATGCATTTTTTTCATTGTTTTAATAATTACTGTTAGACTGGGACAACCAGGCAATAGCATATCTTGAAGAGGATCACAAGAGTCCAAACAGATCTTAAACAACTGTCCCACAACAAATGCTCTCAACAGTACACAAAAAGGCAGTATGACAGCATGCCAAATGCAACAAACACTGAAATGGAAGAATTTTGAATGGCATTTTTGCACAACGCACTATGATTTTTTTTTTTTGCACATGTAGTCTATTCACATTTTAATTGTTGTTTTTGTGAATAATTTTACTACCTGGTTATAATTTGAAAGACACAACAATTACATATCTTAGATGAGTATGTGTTTCTTGCAGCTAAATAACGTCAACACCAGTGCCTATAGTAAAAATGAACAAGATCATAAAAAAGAATCATCTTTATTAGGCACTCTAACTGCGTATTTTAAAAGCTGTTTTCAGTACAACCTTTTTGTTTTCCCATGCCAGTAACTAGCATTTGTACTTTCACACAGTAGTTCCCTTTTCATTTGGATAAGGAAAGGCCGCGTTACTCACAATCACTAGTGAAAATAAATGCAATGTAATCAAGAAACTACAGTACTACAGTGTATCCCATCTGCAGTAAGAGGCCCACAACTGTAATTCATTTCTGTGGTAAGAATGAAACCAAAGTTAAACTTTGTTTCATTTGGGAAAAAAGGCACGAAAAAACACCAGCTGAGATCAAATAAGATGGTAAATAGTGTTTATATAAGCACTATAAAAGCAAGCGTGAACAGTGAACTCCCCCTGTTACTTGCTGACATTAACAAAAGACTCATTTTGAAGTGAGGGAATAGTTCCTACCAGTACTGTATGCATATGCAGTATTATACATGTCTGGGTCGTCATCTACAAAAAGAAATATACATGTTACAGTAGTGCAATATATGCCAGTTTATCACAGTAACGCTACTTTGTTTTTGCAAATACAAAGTGAGATTGGTAGGCAATCAAGTGTTGTATTTCTTTTCCTCATCTCATAGGTGTTTTCTGAAGACTCTCTCTTCCCATTATACTTACCATAGGCTATTTTTACCATCTTATTGGTAAAATGGTATCTTCTGGTCATGTCACCCATATTGTGTACTTACTGGTTAGCATCGAATTGCAAATTATAGCTTTTTGTCTGTTGTTCTCCCTTTGCTAAGCTCAATTTCTTCCTTTTGTCAGGTCTCCTCTACTAGAGACTACTAAGTTCTTGTTCCTATCAGAAACAGCAACCTCAAATATCTACTATGGGACTAGCATTCAAAATAGATCTAATAAGCCAAAATTTTCCTGCTTATATTTTTTTATTCTCCCACTAACATTCTGTGTGACTATACTGAATGCAAGCTCTACCTCAGACGAATAAATTCTCCTTCCTTCTGGAGGTCTAACGAGCATAATTGCCATTTATACAGTTTCTTGACATCCTTGGTGACAATCATGATAAAGGATGTTAACTCTAAAGCTAGTAATGTCACCAAAACTCCATTTCAGCAAAATCAAGAAAAGACATTCTATGAAAAAAATACAATTAATATGATAGAAAATGTATCCTCAAAACAGCCTGTTTACTAGCCCATGCTGCTCTAACACAGGAGCTCTCCAAAAGAAAGCTGGTATGGCAGGAGATTTATAGTGGACAATTTCTCATCCCTCAAACTGGAGATGAGGATCACTTCATCAAGCTCCCCAGTGACACGGAATCATACTGGTTGCATACCTACCCTAACCACTTGAATTTTTATTTAGTTTTAGGAATAAAATAAACCCATTAGAAATTTTCAGCTTTTAATAGAGGAAAACAGCTCTCTCAGCAGTAAAATCTAGCATAGAATTTACCCATTTGATTTGATTCATTATCTGACACTTGGTGAGCACTTGTATTTTCACATAGCAGACAATCAAAATGTAAAGTGCATTCTTTAATACCACTGAGAACCACCCAGCCAAGACAAAAGCATACTTACCAGGCTTATGAACCATATGGATTTGCTTGAACATTGTCTTGTACCAATCCTTCGGCCTGTCAACTGTCTAAATAAAATACAGTTTTTAACAATTAACAAAAAAACCCCACAAACCTGTGTGTACAGATCTGATCAGACATTTAACATTATTCTGGACAGAAAGTCTATTATGTTTTGTCCCTTATTTCATATAATCATTTTCATACCATCTATTTCAAATGGTGCATTTATGCTTTTCATTTAGGAATTCCTGTAACAAGTTCTGGAAGACACTGAAGACTGAGCCAGTTTTGGACTCTGATCTTGGAGGGTACAACGGTTAGGAACATAGGAATTACTGCCAGATCACGAGTTTATCTTCTTAGTGACCTATATTTGACAACCATGAGTGCTAGATACTTTACAGGAAAATACAAACACCTCAGCAATTACAATTACAAGCATGTAAGAAGAGCTTCTTTTGAACTCCTGGCAATTTCCAATCTAAATTATCTCCAAAATGTAATTGTTAAATAATGCAGAGAAACTTTGCAATACTACAGAGAAAAGAATTAAGACAACACGATATTTAAGAGTTAATGTTTGGATTGTAAACAAACAGTATTTCCTTTTATCAGTTTTAAATTCCCCTTCCAGTCAACTTAACTTATTTTTCTATTTTGAGAAAAGTTAATATAATATATGTTTCAATAACCACTCATTAAATTACACTTATCTTTACTTTTGTAAACTAAGCAATCCCAAAGTTCCCAAACTCTCCTCATACCAACATTTGGTCGTGCTTCTAATTATTTTTATCTCTTACCCTTCTGTATTTTCTCTTTTGCTGTAATTTTCTTTGAGATAGGATGATAGTGTTTCAGAAAAGGAGGTAACACAAAGGCAAACATGTTTTCAGTATTATTCTCCTTCAGTCCTAAAATTTTACTTGTTCCACAGCAGTCAGAAAAGCAAAAGTTTTAATGCAGATGTACAAAATTACCTTCAAACCTAACAGTGCACAGGGATAATTCAAAAGACCCCTCTTGATGTGCATTATCTTGCATTAGCTAATACTAAATCTGCACTCACTCTGCCCGCTCCTCTTTATCATGAAAACTGAAAATCCACGAATTGTTCTCTACAAAATAACCGACAGATCTGAGTGTTCACCTGGCTCTGTGCCATCTTTAGTGAATCACACTTTTGCCCTAAGTACTTGTTGCAGTTACTGTACATAATTAATCTGCTTTGTTAACAATGGTGAGCTCTTACTATAAGGGACTAGGCAGAGAATGCTCCTGTATTTTAAGGAAACAATATGAGTTCTCATAAGATTGCTATTAAATAACATTTTAAAAAAAATTGTTTAAAAGAAGACCTGATAGTCAACTGAAGAACTTGGGGATCTGCTGAGGAAGAAAGAAGTTTAAGCAGAAGGTTATGCTTTTTACTCAGACCTGCTTACAAGATAGAGATGAAGGAGATACAGTTTTGTATCACCCCACCTACCAACATTCCTGACTTCTGCCAAAGAGACGATATTCAGAAGCAGACTTGGACCATTTTAACATTGTTTTCCTAAAGGTATTGAACATCTATACTAGTGGAACTCTGGTAAGAATAATTTAGCTGGATTTGAAACAAGTATGCTGTTTGGTGCTCCAAGATCATGCATGTTCAAAAGTTTACAAGGAAGTCCAGAAGGTCTGAAGGAACTCATGTCAACGGGCATAATCTCCATGGTACTCCTCATTTCCCACAGCAGTAGAAACCTGCAATGGTCCCACCATACCGCCACGGCCTTTCTGATTGTACTGGGTCCAGAAGAGTCTTCCAATAGAGCTTGAATCAGTGACAGATGAATAGATAGGAAACACTGCATAAATATTACTGTTATGACCCTACTGTTTTGTCAAGGGACAAATTCACGCAGATATCTCTTTGCTGGATCCTCCTTATCAGTCAAGTCCCCCACAAATCCACAGGAAATGTCCACACAGAGATCAGGTATGGAGAAGCTCCCACGTGACTGGAGAAGAAGGTGTCCCAACATCTTTCTGGACATTTGAATGTTTTTCTCTCATCAACTCCCCCCCAACCCTCACCATAGGGTTTAAAGCCTCAGCCAATAATTTGGCTTTACATTACAAGCCAGATAGGATTAGTTAAGGAACAGAATAAATTAATTTTAAAATACATTTTCTCAATTTAAATTCACTAATCCCACATACCAACATTTGTTTGAGGAATTAGCAATATTCACAATGCACCAAGCCATTCAGATACCATCCTGCTTTGCATACGTTGCAGTTGTTGCAATTAAATGCTGGAACATGGCATTATCACATGTGAATGAACAATCAGCCAAATAGCATGAAGAGGACGCAAGAAGTACCTGCAGTTGTTACTTAGGAAAGTCCATAATCATTGCAGTATTCTGATAATCCATCAGAAAATATGCAATTAAAGGAGGCATTTATGACTTTCAGTGGACCTTCTGCATTTTTTTTTTTTTCAAGCCGAAACATTACATCACTAAGTATGGAAAAGAAATCTGGTGGGACTTGATTTTTTTATTTTTTTCATCCTTAGTGAATAGAGGCCTTTTCAGTCTACACATTAATTTTGATAGTTAGACACGAAGCAATCATTTTGGATAGTCTAAACCAGTGCAGCCATACTGCTTTTTGTGAATCTGTTTCTTCCTTTCCTAGGACCCTGTAGGTGGTAAACTCTGGTGGTGCCATCTGGCTGAATGCTTTTCTGAGTGAACAGCATTCACCCTCTCTTTTCCAGAGACTTCATTTTTAATCCCTTGGAATTTCACCATCTTTGGGGCAGGGCTTGGCACAGTGGCAATGATCTGAATTTTCAGGCTTCAGACTTGCACTTCCCAGAACTAGCAGGAGCTAAAGCAGCATGGAAGGAACAATGCTAACATGGGATGGAGGTTCTGAGAGAAGGAAAAGCTTTACAGGAATCCTTCCCCTCTCAGCAGCTTTGGACAGAGAGGGTTTGCGGGAATAGAAAGAGAAAAGAACATCACTCTGCCTTCCTTAGCTAAACAGCTGTCACAAACCATGTTCTGAGAGTAAAGACAGACTTGGAGGAGATCACCATAGCCTGAAAAATCTCTCTACTTCTGAAAAGTAGATACTCCCAAGTTCTTAGTTACAAGCTTACCTTTGAGTTTGGAACACAGTGTGTATGTTACCTATCACCCACGAATCTGCATTTACTGCTTACAAATAGACTGTTGCCATTTTCATAAAGATGGAAGAATAAGAAACTTTTAAACTCTGTATGCAACGATAAACTCAATTAATTTGAAAACTTCTTTCCCTCTCCAGATTGAGTGAAGCTGAGCTTTCTGGGAGAAGATTCCTATTTGGATTGCTCACTGACCTTGGAGAAAGAGTGATACATCCTACCTTCTACCGTTCATGGGAAATGCAGTTATAGCACTTTTGCATGTTTCTGCATAGTACTGCAGTTCTGAGGGGTGTTGAGGTGCAGCATATTTGAGTCTTTTGCTGACAACTATACCACCTTTGTTCTTACACGACTGGGATACGCGGGGCTCAAATATACTCATGCACATGTAAAATGTGATCTCAAATCAGTATCTTGAAAACAATCTCACCTCCAGCTAAGCCCTAAGGAAGCAGAATAAGGACACAAAGTGTCACGAGACACACACTCACACACACGTGCTAGCATAATCTTTTAACTTGTATCTCATTGTGAGAATCATTTTTATAATACTAAGTTTACAAGCTGTAAGATACTTCAAAATTGAAACAACAAAAAACAGAGCAAATCCAGCTGAAAAATGTCCTAATTCAAATTATATTATGTTTTTAGGAGAAAGTCTGAGGCACTCAGACCATACAATCTGAAAGTTAAATATATGTTGGCAGACTGCCAACTCTGTTAAGCACACTTGCAGCGGATTTCAGCTATAATCTTCTATAACTAATATGCACCCTATATTAGATCAATCTGCTATTAAAAAAAAAGAACAAAAATAATTACTTTATCCTACAGAAAGCATAGGGACTATTTACTTAAAAAGGGGGTAGGAAGCTAGAGCATCGTTGCAAAGAAACGTCTTCATTTTTAGAAGATTCTGATCTTATTACTTTTTACATCAAAAATAAAGCAATAAAATGCCAGAGTTTCCCCCCCCCATTCTTATAAAAATTGTCCCCGTCTTACCACTCATTCTGAGTTTTTCCTATTGCTTTCCTCCATTAATTCCTGATTCTCCCCCTAATTTTTCCATCAACTGAAGCAGTTCTCGGCAACACAACACAGCCCCATATGTCAGTATCGGCAGAGGGGATACATCCAACAGCTCCTACATCCTTGCACCTGACAAAGACTTCACCTGCAAGGGCTCTGCCGCTTTCATCCTGGCTCCCACTCTTCTTACTCCTTCTCCGTCTAGCACAGCACTTCTCCTGTGGCTGGGCAGGCCAGTCAGCACCTCCTTCACAGACCTACTGCAGCTGCCGCTCTGCTCTCTGGACCAGCCAGAAGAGGCTGCCCTGACAGCAGAGTGGAAAGAATGCTACGGCATAGTGAAAACAAAACTCTTCAGTTCGACATCCTGGGACCACTCAAGCAGTAACTAGTGGCAGATGATCAAAACCGGGCTAGTCACAGTGAAAGAGGTTTCCACGCTATTCGTTTACATGTCACTCAAGGGCACAATGATTATATATTGCACTTCTGCGAAAACGCTACTCACTTAGATTATTATCAGAACAAAACTATTCATTTCTACACTACTCTGATGACATGAGAACCACTGCGCCCAAAAACGCAGGAGTATGAGATTTTTATATATACGCACGTATGTATACTTGCATGCATGCATATATATAGTACGTATAAACTTTATTTTAGAAATAACAAATGAAAATACTGCGTAACTCCAAAAGGCAAGAACTACAAGAGAAGCAAGAAAGAGACACAAAGTTTTGGCTACTTCTAATTAAAAACTAAAAACATGAGGTTGCCCAATTATGCTCCCATCAGCATTCTCCTTTTCCGTCAACACACAATATTATATTCATGAGCTCGCTGATTACGCACACTGTATTCCACATTATATAAGACTGGAAGAATGTGAAAAACCCATTACCAACAATCAATTCATTGTACGAGTTCATACAGAGATTCCCCAGAATTTCCTACCGTTCTAATTGCTGTAGGGATTCCAGATTCATCTACCGGGCCAATCCCTGCATAATGTGGAGCCTTAATGACTGTAATTTTTTTTTCTTCTTCTGAGGATCTACAGATTGGTATTGTACTGGTGGTGGTGGTGCTGCCAACAGCCTGAACATGCTGTGAGTATGTCTCTGTGGACTCTGTAAAGATAACATGACAGAATATTGTATAATGATACAATAATCATACTTGGCAGTTATAACACGCTCCCCCATTTCAGTATGCTGTACAAAGACTGACACCAACCTTAACCACATGGATACACAACACTCACCTCCCCCCCCGCCCCCATCTTATTTGGGGCTTTGCCCTACTTAATATTACATTAACAGAATTACAAACTTACTTAGGGACCAGACTATTCAACTCAGATCTTCTTACATTAGAGGTACTTTTTCACAGCATCTTGCTCATAAAAAAACCCACAACAAAACCAAACACAAACCAACCCCGCCCTGCCCCCCCAAACCCAGCAAAACCTGTTGAGAAATAACAGCAGCAGCCTTTTTCCAATAAATCAAAGTCTCGCACCTTTCCTATCCATTCCTTGAAACTAGCAATATAATTTCAAAACTTCTCCCCACCCTGCCCAAGTCTAGCAAACTATAGAAACTTGCTGTTCTGTAGGCACAGCAGCAGGCTCCAAACAGCCCTCCACAAAGACTACAAGCTATGTGTTTAGAAACATTAGGTTTCAGTGCATGAATGTTTTTAACAAACAATTCTGACATACCATTTTTAGCCCTTAAAGTTATGTTGGTATGCTTAAGTGCCTCTGCATATAATCCATAAAAATAGATCTCGGTAACTTGGCATCTGTAGAACAATCTGATGATCCACCCAGAGTACTTTAGGTGAACTGGGCAGGCTGCTACTGGTTTGTGGTAACCTGCAATATTTCTACCCCTCTCCCTCAAATCTTCCTTTATAATTAATGAAATTAATACATCACTATTACCATTTCCCTCTAAAATTCAGAGTAATTTATTTAACAAAAAACACCTCACTGCTGGGATGTGTCATGTGAAAATGTGTACTGCTGCAGACGATGTACTTCTTTCCTGTATGCAGGAAAAAGAGCCCTACTCCTTCAGGCAGTGTGTTTCAGTAAATTAGTGGGCTGCTATGACAAAGCATCTTTTTTTGGAAGAGCAGGTACAGTACTTGTGAGATGTTTCCACTGCAGGATAAATGAGTGTAGGGAGTAAAAATAAACATTCTAACACTACTGGTGAAGATTACAATTGCCTTTCATGTGACACCAGCATCTGTTGATTCTCCTGCAGCAAAATATTTGAATTGTAATATAAATCAGCAAAAGGAGGTCTGGTGACTGAAAGCTCAAATTTTAATATCAATATTTCTGCTTGTTCCTACTGCAGAGAGCTGGCTTTGGCATGGCTGTTTCAGATGTTTACTCAAGTTTGAAATCCTGTAAATAATCCAGTGCTACACATATATGGCGAGGGGCAACTCTGCGTGGCAAACGTCTGAATATTTGGGCCTTTTTCCCAAAATGCACGATGTTAAATTTAGAAAACATTTTGGATTTGATCCTTCATTCTTCATAGGCCTCAAACAGAGGCCATCAGTGGGATTTTTACATAAGCAAGGAGAATTAAATCAGGCTGTTACTGTGAAACACAGAACTTCAGCATTATACAAGAGTTAAAGTCATGGGAAAACGCTTATTTCAGATACATCTACAACAGAATTGATAGGCCTTTAGATCAGCAAACTGGAGGGGATCAAAGAATCTAGAATTCTGAGATGTAAAGAAACCCACGTATAGAGTTTTTGTACTTATCACTATGATAGGGATAGCAGCATTTGTCTAAGCCATAAGTCTCAGACCGAGAACTGCCATCTAATCTCCCCGTATGCACAACAAAGGAGTAAACTCCAGGATCACATTCGAATTATTTTGCATGCGTAGTCTTATCTGAATATGCAAAACACTGATAGAAAAAGCAGCAAGCAAATAATTGTTCTGGCAAAACTCGATTATACTGGGAAAGTGCCTTTCTAAGGTTGATGGTGTACTTTTAAAGAAAAATGAACAATGCCCTACATACAAAAAAATGAACAAATTATAGATTGACATGGCTTAATGTGTTTTAAAGCCCAGAGCCCCTCCCTTCGCTGGCACTATTTCTACTGAAGATTAGGGAAGTTGTGGGGAGAAGCACTGTACAAAGTTAGCCCTCGGTTTCTTAAAGAAGGCAAAATCTGAAGGGGCTGCAGAGCTGGAGCTGTTTTGACATATGCTTTTTCATTGGTAAAGCTAGTAGAAAGGTAGCAAGAGGTCACTCTTAATAGCAACTCCAGTTCAGGATCACTACTGTATCTAACAATAAATGCTTTTTTTTCTTGCATTTACTTCCCAAGGTAGATGAATAGACAATACCTTCATTATGGATGTGAAGTATTCTGCAATTGTTTATAGTCTTTGCCACATGAATTGCAACATGTTGCGTAATGTATAAAGCAAACATTCTGTGTGAGGCTTACCCATCATCCTGCCATGCTGCATGATAACAACGTTGGAATTGAGCGAAGCTGGTGGAGGGTAAGCTGAAGAAGGGGAAAAAGGCCTTTGAAAGTGACTCACTGGGCTGGCAGCAGTGCCAGAGTTCCCATTCACTGTGATCTGAGCCTGAGAAAAACAAAACAATATCCCATTAAAATACACACAAAGCCCTCCGACTGCCATCCCAAACAAAGGGTGATGCAAGACTGCCATCCACACAACAATTACCAGTTGTCAGGTACCTAGCCATAACGGCATCTGCATTCACTGAAACACAAAACTCATCACAAGGGGAGCAGAATTGTGTTCCTTATATACCTTGTACCTCCCCTCTTCTCTCTGTAGGTGCTGTCTGTGAAGCATGCTGAAGTCATAGGAAGGTGACAGAAAGACCATGGTCAAGGCAACGAAGATGGCACAAACAAGTTCTGCAGAGGTCCGACAGCAATATAAAATGAAGGTGGCAGTAAAAGTTCCTCTCGTGGTGTGACAAAGGCTGCCTGCCACAGATCACCCACTCCAAGAGACATATTCCCTTCATGCACATGCTCAAGCCCTATTGATATTAATGGGAACTTCTGTGCAGACTGAAGGGAAAAGTCTCATTAAGACTAGCTGAAGAGAGTGAGCCAAAGCTGCTTTAAAAAATGGAAGCCAGCTGGAGTCACTATGGGATGCTGATATGTAGTTTATCACAATAAAAATAAATAGCACCAATAAAAAAACCACAACCACAAAACAATGGAATAAAATCAAATAAATAACGTGGGAAAGCTAAGTAAACTGGCAGAACAGCAGCATCACAAGCCATTTAGACTTTAGTCACAAGAGGTACTTGTGAAACAATCTGCTTCCCTGCCCCCAGGTTTAGAGTCCCCACACCTGGGCTGTAGCACTTTTATGGGCTGTAATGCACAGATCGAAACAGAGATATTGAGAAAACATTGAATGAAATGAGAGGGGAGCGAATATTTCAGCAGCAAAGGAAGGGAAGCTCTCTGTAACATCTCTCTTAATGCAGAACTTGTCTTCAAATCTAAACAAAATCAGAAACGCTACAAACTTGGCTCAATTTTATACAACAAAAGAGAACTAAATCATGCTGTAAATATAAAACATGATTCTATCTGAAGCAGCAAAGCGTAAGTAAAAAACTTACTAAAAGGCCTATTACTTTTACTTTTATAAATGAAATGGTTCATAACTGCTTGTATACATTTGTATTTTGGAGGTTACTGATTTGCTTTGAAATTTTGAACATCTTGGTCTCCGATAGCTAAGAGAGCAAAACAAATTCTGGCTCTGATGCAGACATCATGGGACTTAGATGCATTCAGAGGTTTCTCATTTTAAGGATGCCTGTTTTCAGAATGGAGCTGAAAAAGTTTGTGTTGTGGTGATGTCTCCATTAAAACTGTTACGTTTAAATGTTTCCTCTCTTACTAAAGTCAGGAACCAAAATGTAAACTAAGTGGGCTTTTCTCACACCATGCCCCCCTCCAAAAGAACCTGGAGCTGTAAGAATACAAAAGCTGCATGAGCTCAAAGATAGCATTTCAAGAGGTACAGAGCCATGTTTTCAGATGAGGTTCCCAGATGAGGCCAGCCATCTCTACCCTACTTCAGGGGTTCACCCATTCTCTTTTCCTGCATATTGTCTTTTTGGGAAAGCTTGTTTCTCGGGAAGGCAGGGTGCAATTATGTCCAGAACCTTATACCTTCTTCCTCATTTACTATGGCTTTTGCTTCTCTGAAGGGAGGAGCAGAACTAGTGTGAGCTCTTTGTAGACTGGAAAGCTACTCCTATGAATTTCTGTAACCAAAAATTAAGATATTCCTGTGATGGGCTTTACCAAATAGCTAGGTTGACAGTAAGGCTCTTACACCAAGTAGTTTGAAATATTATGAATATTATATTATGAAAATTATTATTAAAATAGGATCCACAGAAGTAGCTGACGGACATCAGTCATAAATGTATATATGGTATGTCCATATATGAGTTTTTTGGGTTTGCTTCTAAAGCTTTTAGAGAGGATATTAGCTCAGCTATCATTTCTTAGTTCCTAATGACGTTCTCTGAGGAAAGTTTCTCTGAGGGCGGCTATTGCATTTATCTGATGCATCTTGCACTGGTGAGAGGGTTAGCTATAAAAGACAGTTCTGCCACGTTTCAAGTTCCAAGGGCCCTTCCTGCCCTTGGAATCATTTGGGAGCTACTGACATTTCAATCTGAGACTGTGATGCTTTAGTTCCAGGTGGCAGAGTTTGTTCCCAGATTTTAGAAGGAACTGAAATCTTTAAGATGCCTATTCATGAATCAGACCTTTTACTTTCCTAGGTAACCTCCTTTGTGGGAAAAAAAGATGATACAAAAAAGAACTATTTCACCAAAAATGCACCTATTTTGCAGCTTATTGGGAAGATAATCACCTCTCTCATGTTGTTCATTTCCCTAACCTCCTTCATTTATTTTTTTCTCCAGTACACTTTACCTGTGCTCCACCGCTAGCAGAGCCACCTACTTTTGCTGCTAGGTAATTAAACTCTTGTAAAGATTCCTCCTAGGTACCAGGTTTAAACTTCCTTTAATTTTCCTGGGCATCAGAAAAAGCAGCTCTCTGGGGCTTCTGAATCAGAGCAGATAAAAACATCTATTTGGGACTGGAGCTGCTTTCTAACCTCTCTGCTGAGGCAGGCAGCAAAAACATTATGGATGTCTGCGCAGCTTTGTGCAACGGTGCCACACAGCACAGCCCGGCCTCAAGATACTGAATTAGGCTTAAAATATTCAGGATCAATTCTTGAAGCCAGAGACAGTCCCAGAACTTGGGAAAAGGCAAAAATCTAATGTTTACTTCTATTTCCAAGTTTCCATTAGATTCCACAATTTTAAACTATATCAACAAAAAGAACCCATGAAAATTACTTTATAAGGGAAATGTTCATAATTGGAATAGAATCAGAAAGAAGAGCTTCCAAAACCAGCCGTTCTCTGATTTTAACTCCAATTCTAAGCATAAGCCCAAATAAGAATTACAATTCTCATACTTCAAGTTTTCAAAGAAGTTGTAATCTGTGACTAAAAGTATGGTCAATTAACCACAGTTTTATGTTCAGCTCTGCCTTTTGCCTGGAACATTTTACAATTTTGTTGATTCAGCTCTTCCTGATGCTGTTTCTTCTCAAAGATCCACTGTAAAAATCTTTTTGCCTAAGCTGTCAATTAAGGACCTCAAGAATAAACACACATCCCCAACATGGACATAATGTGTTTGAAAGCATGGTTCGATCTTATGCAGGCGCAGTGCTGGATGGCACAATCCTGTATTACTTTTATTGTTCTCTCAGCGGTTTTCATCTACAAAACCAAGAGGAGCCTCTTCTGAGAATGAAGATCATGACAAGAGTAGAGCCACTAGCAGCACACCTGTGTGTGCCATCAGCTTCCCCATCGTTTTCTCATTTCGCAGATACATCCATAGTCACCTGGCCCTACTCCACAGAGGATGGGAGATGAAGACTTTTCTACACTGCAGAGGTGGGTCTTGCCAGCAGTTTAATTTCTGTGGAGCTCTTAGGATTGCTTGGGCATTTTTGTCCTTTGGTGGGAGACTCATCCTTTCTCTTTGTCCATTAATGGTGAACAATTGTTAATGCTCATCCCTGCTATGTCTATAGAGAGAAAGTAGTGGTCAGACCTGACCGTAACATATCCCTCTAACAGGGAGACTACCCAAAAAAGGAAAGAACGGAGGACTATTCACTTTAGCTTACAAAAATGGTGCTCAAAGAAAACATACAGTTAGCTGATTATTTTAGAAGTAGGTTAGAAGAAAATACAAGTGTTCCATGCTTCCCGTAGCTCGTAAATGGTCATGTAGTGATTGTGCCTTATTTACACATACCAGTCTATATTGATTATGGTATCTTTGCTTACAACTACTGGGCTGTATGCACATTCACACTACTGAGTCTCACCAAAAAAAGTTTCAGAGCTGTGTTGCAAGAGTTAGGAATGACAGCTTTTACATGCCTGTTATTAACGTTATTTTTTTTTAACAGCATCCAGAGCACTGCCAACAGATCGTTGACTTTCCAGGTGACTCTGTAAGTTTGGGCTCAAAATACATTTTATAGAATGCACATGAAACTTGAAAAATATATACAATTTGTTCTTCTCAGACTTGAAAATGATAGCATGCTGAAGTATTTGTACAAAGTTTGAACACTGTTGTGACCCAGTAAAACTTTAGTCTCGGAACATCTCTCTGTTTTGTAATTCAGCAACAAATTGCTCAATGTAAATGAAGGCTTTGTTCTGACTTATTTTAATCATGCAGATAATCTCAAAAGAAATAAGAAGTGATCTGGATTTGACCCAAATTCCATACCTTCTTTCTACCCATATATGAGTGTAGTAAGGTACAGAAAAGCAAATGTATACATAAAATACCTAATCACACGCTGTTTTTTTTCCTGGACTTAACCAAGAGAAAAGTAGCAGGACACTTGGGTACTACAAGATTATTTATGAAGTTCACTCCTGTAAGAAACTGTGCTTAGGAGAGGAAAAGGTTAGTTAGGGGAGAGAAAAACAGTGTCATGCAGTCAGTGGTCATGGCTGAGGAAAAAACTGCGTTAAATATTGCCAACATTTACTACAGATTTACAAGTTATATTATTGAAACCTGTACCTCAGTATAAACTAAAAATGGTGGTTGTCCAGAGGCTACAAACTCCACAACCTGTACGTTGCTAACAACATTTTAAACAAATCTCTTCAAACTCTACAGATTGCTTGCTTTTAATGCATTTGGAGCAGATACTTATCAAAGGTACTTTCATTTATTTTAAGCACAGTGTTTGATACATCTTAGCTGACCATACAACTGTGCAACAACCTAGTATCATTTTCCTATTACCAAATCTGCTATGCCAATCATATTTTTTAAACAACAGTTGCAAAACATACTGTCAGACTGCAAACACAGCAAACTACAAACAGAATACTTGTCCTTGTAACAGGGTAACAGACAAGTCTGAACTCTTATCCCCTCTGACAACCTGTTTGAACAAAATGGAGGAGGAAAAAAGGAAGCATAATTACATGAGAAGTGGCAGCA